GGGTCATGGTGCCAAAGGGGACAACAACTATGAATTTGAGATCGAGTTCCTAGAGCCAGTCGAACCTAAAGTAGGTATTTTTACTCTTCTAACTCTTGAAAGGAAAATGACTGTGTGTTGTGTCCGTAGTAAGCTGTTTATATTTTACTGGTGACACCAGAACTGCTGCAAACTACAGGTTGTGGCAATCCTCCATCCCAGTGCTCAGCCACATTCCTGTCTTAATGCAAATCACCTCCCTTGAGCTGGTGCTGGCATGGATCAGCTTCAATAGACACAAGGCCTTATTTGTATTGTTTATTGTGCTGGTTTGAAAAGCAAACCGGTGAGAGACTCTGAATCAGAAGTACAATTTAATATGAACAGGACATTTATTTAACAGCAGTTGTACATTTTTGAAAGGATTTAAAGTAGCAAAATAATGGGAGAATCTGTCGATGCAGCCCTGACTGGAGAGCAGGGAACACTGTGGTGCAAAGTGTTGGTGTGATGTTTCATGGCTTATTTTGCAGCCTGGCAAAAGGAAGTCAGGAGAATTTGTGCTCTTGGCTTGTGCAGATTTCTTAGGTTGTGGTATGTTGTGGCTCCTGTTGCAGAAATCTTTCCTTAATTCCTGTTGTAGTCTGATAGAGAGATCTTGGCTGGAAGAGTCACCTCTCTGTGTTCCTTGAGGCTGTAAGGTCTGTCCTTACCTCCCAGAGCTCGTAGGGGCACAGGAGAACTCTGGGCTATGCTCCCAGGGCAGGATTTGGGCTGCTAGTTCCTGGCTGACTTGGGGATAGCTCCAGTCAGACCAGGAGCTACTATTCAACTCTGCTGCTTCAACAAGGGAGGAGACTGCTGGAGGGTGAATTCCAGGGTCTGTCAGCAGGCACATTTCTGGTGTGGCTCCTGCCAGGTGTGGAGTGGCAGGCAGTGAACAGCTCTTGGTTCCAGGATCTGGTCACCAGTTTGTCATCTGCCTGGCCCATGGTGTGGGAGAGGTGCTTGTCACTGCCTGTGCTTCTCCTCTATGCTGGCAGATAGGGGCTTTACTGTGAGCCAGGCCTGGAAGGCAAGTCCTTGCCTCTGCAGAGCATCCTCCTTCCAAAAATCCAGTCACTCTTGAGTCACTGGGGGAATTGGAGGAGAACAGACTGAATTGTGTGTTACTACAGATGGTCAGGACTGGGAAGTGTTGCAGTCCAGGGCGTTTCCCTTTAGCTCTGATGTGCACCATGAGTTCTCCTTGCTGGTGCCAGGCTGGCCAACAGCGAGAGATGAAGCCTCTGGCAGGCAAGGACCATGAGCAGTAGCTGTAAATTACAGCTGCAGCCTTCAGATGTCCCAGGAGCATCCAGCTAGCCTTAACAGAGCAGTGCTGGTGTAACATGCTCAGTTAAGGGCACAGCTCAAGGCTCTTTTGCAGCAGTTTCAGCTGGTTTGAGAGGCAGTGCCATGCAGAGCAGCCTCGAGGTGCAGAGGGATGTGATGGTGGCAGTAAGGTGGTCTCCAAGGTGACAATGCTGTGGGCTGTAAGGTTGGAGAGTTCTGGGCTGCCTTTATGCAGAGTGTGGCTGTGGTGGAGAGGCCTCATGGGGTGGCAGTGACCACACTGCCCAGTCCATCAGTTCACTGTTGTCTCCAGGTGTTTCCTAAGGCTGTTGGTTCTTGCTGCAGCAGATGTCACATGGTGTCCCCTGTTTTGGACACTACCTGTGGCTGCTGGCAGTGTTATTTTCACCACTGTCTAGAGGAAGCAGGTGGCTCACAGTGCCAAGTGCAAGAAGGTTGAAAGCCAAGATCGTGTGTTCTGCCTAGAAAGGCTGGGCTCTGTGGTGGGATGTGCTGGTGCTGTGCTAGGACCAGGATTGCAAGCTGCTCATCAAGCCCTGCAGCCATCACAGCTGCCATCTCCAACTGGGCTGCCCTTGGCTTCCATGCCTTGGGTGGCAGAGATGCTTATTCTACAGCAGTCTGTGTGATCCCTGTCCTTTTATAAGGAGAACTTGAGGATCAACTCAGTCTCTGAGCTTGTTCCTTAGGACTTTTGCTGATGTGTGCTCCTGTGCCTGCCCTCAGCCTGTATGCAGGGTGACCCAGAGGCAGCTGAACATCACTGTGCAGAAGAAGGAGAGTAACTGGTGGGAGAGACTGACCAAGCAGGAGAAGCGTCCGCTGTTTCTGGCTCCTGACTTCGACCGCTGGTTAGATGAGTCAGATGCTGAAATGGAGCTGAGGGAGAAGGTCAGTCCTGTGGGCACATGTGGCTTGTGCTGCCAGCTGCAAAGCAAGAATTGCTCTTCTCCTGTGCTTTGAGCTTGTGTTCTTTGTTTATCTGGAGTTGTCTGTTACTGCTGTTCCATACAGATCCCATGGAGAAATGGCTAAACAGTTCAAATTGTAAGCAGAAATTCAGAAATAGGCACGTTTCTGGTTAGAATCAGAACTGGTGGCTGTGTGCTGGCTCCTGGCATGCACACCTTGCCCAGTGCCCCGATCCATAGGTGGATCATATCACTGTGCCATGTGGAGCCCAGAGGTGTGAGTACCAGACATGGCTTGTCTGGGAAGAAGGGATTTCTGAGGCTTTCCTGAGCCACTGGACAGGCCCTGGTGGTGCATTCCCACCATCTGGTGAGCTTGAGCAGCTTACTGCAGTGGGGAGGTGTGGGAAAAGACTCGAACAGGCCACATTCCTGCAAATCCCTTTTACAACAAATGCTGCCCTGTTCCCCTGCACAGCCATGAGCTTAGCACGGAGCAGAGGGACACTGCAGTGCCAGGAGCCAGAGCACAGTGGGAAGGGCAGGCAGAGAGCCTGGGCTGGGTGTTCTCACTTCCTTCAGGGCACTGGTGGGTCATGTAAGAAATAGCTCAAAGAAACAGCAATAACTGAGAGTTAACACAGAAAACCGAGGCTTCTTCAGCAAAAGCATCTAATGACTAGGAAAAAGAAGGCAGGATAACTAGTTAACCCCCTCTGGCTTTTGCTGTACTGTAATTTCCAGATGATGAATGTGGTTTTTTACGCCAGTGAAAATTTAAACCTTCAAGCAACTTGCTGCTTAGCTGAGTTTTAAACCCACTAGCTTTGCAGTAGTATAGTTAACAAATCACTTGCTAATTACAGTAACAGTCTTTAAAACCTTATCCTTCATCTTAAGGAAGAAGAAAAGATTAACAAAATGAAAATAGAATCCAGAGTCCCCAAAGACCGTAAGTAGCTGCATCTTTTTAGTGGGTAAAGTGGGTTTGGACAGTTTGTCATTCTCATATGTGAACCTCAACTCTTAGGGAGCAGTTTGGAGTGGCTTTGGTGGAATCTTTGTATTGTGAGCTATTAGAGATGTAATACAAATGGACTGCAGTTTCCAAGGAATGTGGAAAGTCTGACTAACAAGGATTGAGTTCTAGGAGATGGCGAAAGCAGCTGATGGTAAAGGCAGGCAGAACCCCCAGTGCACACAACAACCCTTTTATCACCATCAATAGTTCCCCTTTTCCTTGGGAGCTTTATTGCCAGCAAGCCTGCTTGGTTTGCACTGTACTCCTTGCAGAAGTGTTACCATTGTGCTCCACTCACCTGATGTGTTTATGATTGATTTTAGCCTTCAAACACCTGAAGAAGGGATACTTAATCATGTATAACCTTGTACAGTTTTTGGGATTCTCATGGATTTTTGTGAACATGACAGTACGACTGTTCATCTTGGGAAAAGGCAAGTAAATAAGCATTGTTTTGTTTACATTGGGGGGTTTGGATTGGTTTTTAGTGTTGTTCTTAAGACTTTGTGAATAGCAAAATCTGAAGGGAGACATATTTAGGAACAAAACCATGAAGGCATTGCTGAAGAACACAACAAAAGCCTCTCCAAGGCTATCACAGTGTCAAGGGTAGGAAAATACTGTCCTCGTGCACATCACAGCTGTGTGCTCTGATGAATGATACTTGTGCTTCTAAAGAAATCAGCTGGAGCAAAATGTCTCCCTCCCTGCAATGTTAATGACTTTGGAAATGATCTGGGCAGGATATTTTGGTTTGGAAGCAAGAACAACTCATTCTGTTGGGGTACAGCACTATTGCTTTTTTGGTAATTACTGAAATAGCTCTTGATCCTTCTGTGTGTGAAATGGAGCACTTGAGCAGTGTTTCTGGCCTAACTGCTGTGAGTTCAAGATAAGGCCTATAAAGAAGTTACATAATTATGCATCATGGTTTTTTCAAATGCAAGTAGAATCCTGTTACCACAAGCTGTGCTGCTTCCTGAGCAGGGGAGTTCATTTGTTCTCTGAGTGCTTGGTTCTCTGTGTCCTACAGATTCCTTTTATGACACATTTCACACTATTGCTGATATGATGTATTTCTGTCAGACCTTGGCACTAATGGAGATCATGAATTCACTAATAGGACTGGTCAGATCACCTCTGATTCCTTCTGTAGTACAGGTAATACTTTACAGTTCTTGCTCTTCCCATGTTTGAAGTAAATCTTTATTTTACACAAGCATTGAGACTTTCCTGAAATAACTGGTGTAACCTCCCTGCACTGGACTGTAGGATATATCATTCAGGCAGCAGGATGCTTCCCAGGCTGTGTAGGCTGTCTTCTTCCATCACTTAGGTAAGAGAGTTCAGGACAGCAAAAGGAAGAAGCAGCTGATGGAAACGACATGATTTTGATTTGGTGCCAGTGCCCTATTTATCCTGGTTGTTGTTGTTGTGCATAAAAACGAGGATGGATGATTTCAGACCAGGTCTCTTGGATTGCACCTAAATGCAGAGCAAGATGCCTCCTCGTGAGAGTCTTCTTCCATCACTTAGGTAAGAGAGTTCAGGACAGCAAAAGGAAGAAGCAGCTGATGGAAACGACATGATTTTGATTTGGTGCCAGTGCCCTATTTATCCTGGTTGTTGTTGTTGTGCATAAAAACGAGGATGGATGATTTCAGACCAGGTCTCTTGGATTGCACCTAAATGCAGAGCAAGATGCCTCCTCGTGAGAAACAGGTCACAGCTCAGCTGCAGAGTTAGCTGTGTGCTCAGATGTGTGAAGAGCAGACCCCCTGTGTGGTTTTGGCAGCAAGGGCTTGCTCCTTCTTTTGCTAGAGTGTGACTGTTCCTTGATTTGTTTTTCTTAAACAGATATTTGGGAGGAACTTCGTTTTGTTTGTTATCCTTGGAAGCTTGGAGGAAATGCAGAGCAAACCTGTGGTGTTCTTCATATTTTATTTCTGGAGCATCACTGAGCTGTTCAGGTTGGTGGGATTGTTCTCCTGGCAAGTGTGTACATAACGATGTGGTTGTTCCCAAGAACTCTATAAAGAGGATTTTGATCCTTCTACTTTTTGAAAGAGTGGCCCTAGTGCATTGGCCCCAGAGGGTAAAAGCTCCTTGAGCCATGGACTGTCACAGCCTTTGTAGGTTGTTCCATCTGCCCAATGTTGGGACAAGGCTGGAGTCTGAAAGTAATGCTGCCCTGTTGCTTTTTCCAGCAAATGTTCTGCTGCTTTGAATTTCCATTGTTAAGCTGTTTCTCTTTGAAAGAAGAGTTTTGGGAGGTTTATTAGGCAGCCAGGCAGTTCTGCTCATCCATGTAGCACGAGCTCTGTAAACTGCCAGGTGACTGTGTCCATCATCATCCATGGGAGCAGTGAATATTGTTTGGAATATTCTTGTGTTGTTTGGCAGTTGTGCTGCCTATGCAGTGTACATACAGCAGACTAAGTCTAGTAGCAGCTTCTAGTTCAAAGTGTGTTTCTCCTCCTCCTGCCCTGGCTGTAGGTATCCCTATTACATGCTTTCATGCATTGGAATTGAATGGAAACCACTAACTTGGCTCCGTTACACTGTCTGGATCCCTCTGTACCCCTTGGGAGGCTTGGCAGAAGGTATGTCCAAAAAATCCCAGTTTAATAAATAATGAATTCAAGGCTGGGCAAATCACTCCAGTTTTTCTTGGCTGCTGGACTTAAAAATAGTAAAATAGAATAATAGATAAAGAACCAAATGTACGTATTTTTGTCTTTCTTACTGAATCAAATATTGTCTTCAATCTGATGTGAAAATAAGTCTTCCTTTTGGAGGAGAGACTCCCTTTCGGGGGGGGGGGGGAAGGCAGTAAAAGGCTACGTGATCAAATGGAACAAGACAAACTGCAGTCCATGCTCATTTCTCTGCTGACCCAAGGATGTGTGATTTGCTCTCGTGTGCTGGAGCTGACTTGCTCAGCCTGGCTTGGGTTCACACCAGCTCTTGATCAAGATCATCATTATTAAGACACACCAGATCTTGACATTGTCTGGTAGATGTTGGCACAGGGCAGGCAGAAACCCACCTCTGGAAGCAGCACAGCCTGTTCTGAGCAGGCACAGGGCTTGCCAAACAGGGCTCTGCTCCCCTTCTGCTCCATGGAAAAAGCAGACACCTAGTCTTGCCATTCCCCCTCTACAGTGAGAGCTTTGCAGTGTATTGTTCTGTCCCAACCCTCCTGGATAATTTTTAACGTATATCTATTTAAGAAGTAACTCACCACTCAGCTTCCAGCTGTAAGAACTGTGTTGCAATCCTACCTGTCAGAACCCCTGCCTGAGCCAGGAGGAGGCTTGATTGCCCCACACAGCACAGCAGGGACTCTGCCTCTTTCATTGCTGTGGGTATTGCAGGATGGCAAATCCCACTGACACAGGCCCTGGGGCTGCAGCTGGGTGTGAGAACAGTGTCTCACCAGGCAGGTTCCCTGCTGCACTGCTTCCCATCACACTGCATGTTAAACAGCTTTGAAATTGGTTTAATTAATGAGAGCTAGCAACAGCAAACAAGAAGGGAATAGCCTGAAGGAGTTGATGTGGGCTGGGCAATTGTGGATGTTACCTGTTTGGTAATGATGTTGGCCTTCTGCTTTCAGCTGTCTGTATTGTTCAATCCATTCCAATCTTCAGTGAAACAGGGAAATTCAGTCTGGGGTTGCCAAATCCACTGAATGTCACAATCCAGTTTTCATTTGTGCTTCAACTATATCTTATAGCCTTGTTTTTGGGTAAGTACTTAATTGTGTTTGTCAGTATTGAACTAAAAAGGCCACTTTCCTCTGAATAAGTAGATTTCCAAGGAAAATTAAATTCCTGCATCTTGGGGACCATGGCAACATGAAAGTGCTGGAGGTTAAGCATTATCCTTGGGGCTTGTTGATAGAAATTTGTCAGTGAAGGAGGGGAACCCCTCCAACTAGCACTCATTAACCTCCAAGAAGGAGACCTTGGTAACAAACCAGCAGCATTAACTTGGGTTAAAAGCATATTTTTAACATGTATCTATAACCTTAGTTTCACCTTTTAAGTTGTATTTGAGCTTTGGAATGATTTAGTGGAAATCTAAACATGATTTCAAGTGAGAACAATGTGGTTAAACCTTGCAGTAGAATCACAAAAGCAACACGAAGTCATGTTTTTCCACAGAAGACATTTTAAATAGTGGAAAGGATGGTGCTTGATGTGTGCTTGGTTTCTGGGTTAGATTTTTAAACACAGTTTGTCCCAGTACTTTGGGTATCCACAGCTCACTGCAGTTAACCTGAAATGATCTTTCACTTGTTTCTCCCTTTCAGACATTGCTTGAAACTAACCTTTAACTGGCTATAATTGTATTTCCCTCTGAAATACCCATTTCATCCTCCACAGCTCTGCAAAGCTGCTGCCATAACCTCTTAAAGGTGACAAACCTTTCACCTGTGCAGCACCTCCTGCCTCACCCGGCACAAACCCACCTGCATTAGCTTTCAGTGCTACTCACACCCTTGAATAATTTATTCTTTTGTGTGGTTGGTTGGTTTTTGTTAGTGTTTTTTGAGAGCTGGTGCAGCCATCCAGCATTGAAAAGATGCAGTGATGTCCTACCAAAACACTTGATTCTTTTCCAGGGATATTCGTAAACTTTCGACACCTCTACAAGCAAAGGAAACAGCACCTTGGACCAAAGAAGAGGAAGATGAAGTGAAGGAGGACTGCAATGCTTTCTTATCTCACTTAGTGACAAGATAAGCCTATAATTCTTATGGTTTTACCCACTGTAATGTAAAGTATTTTGTAAAATGAAATGACCACCCTAGATCTCATGATTTCATAGTGAGTTCAGGTACATTCCCACATATTGGATTTTGTTCCCTTTCAATCACCTTTGCATGGCATTACCACTGAGCATTTAAACTTGTATCCTGCCAAGCAGCATATTAGAGAGAAATCATGTTATCTGCATATGATAATGCTTATAATCAGTGGAGCAGCACCAAATAGAAATAGTGTTTATCTTTTCATTGGAGATTTGCTAGTGCATGCAGATAGGGCTTCTGGTGTGGGATATACCCGTCGCTGGCCCTGCTGCTCCTGGGGTGCATCGATGGCAGGAGGAGCACAGTCTGAGGCCACTGTGAACAGTGGGTGTTTATCAGCCCTTGGGGTACACTTGCTCAGCACATCCCCTCCCTTTTCTTCTGCAGCATCTTGGTGCTGCAGAATTAAAACTGGAAGTAGCTAATGCTGCTTTAAATGCTACCAAGTTACTCTGTTTCTAGTTTAGCCTTAATGGAATAGGAGTGCTGTGTGGACCTATCAACATGTGTATTCCTGTAGCAACACATCCTACCCAGTCATTAGGGAAACTGCCACTCTGAGGGCAGAAACGCTCTCCTGGTTGGTAATGCAAGCACTGAAATGTAACAAAATAAGGGAATGTAAGTACCAGCTTTCCCCTGGCCTGTGAACCCCAACAGAATTCCATCCCACCCCTCAGAGAGAGAACGTGGGACTGTCATGGGAGATGGAGCTCCTCTGATCCTTCCTGGCAGGGCTGTGGCTCCTGCACTTCAACAAGGCAGCAAAGTTTGCTTTTCTACTTAACTTCGGGGGTGCAGCAGAGAAGTTGGTGTGTATGGTTTAAGTGGCCCCTGCTGGGATGGAGCAGTGGGTCAAACAGACTGTGGTATTTAGACTGCACATGTCAAGTCTTGGTAAGGGAGATTCCACTCAGGCTTTGAAGGACCCTTTTCTCTTTGCTTGCTTTAAACAACAAAAAGAGAAGCTCCCCCCACATTCCAGGTCACTTGCTGTCTCACCTGGAAACCTGTGCTTCGGCTGACTTTACTTCACTATGTCCTTCTTCACACAGAGCCTCCTGTAGTTAATTCCAGGTCCCTTTGGCCTCCCTAATCCAGTTAAGAAATGTACAAAGAGTTTACTTTAAACTGTAGCTGGTTATGAACCAGGTTCTTTCCCCCCTGCCACTGCCCCAGAGCACTGCAGAGCAATGCCAGCCATCCAGAACAAGCACTGAGGCTGAGATTAGCTTAGTGCCATGTTCCTCTTTATCTTTTTCTATTATAAAACAAGATGAATCCTCCAGAAAATTATTTTCTGTATAGAACGTAACAAACAGCTTAATGTTTGTGATATGGATTCAGTGATTGTTACTGTAAAGGAAATAGAGTTATAATGAGACTTTAACAAAGAACCAGTCCAAGCTCCACACTGCATTTCAGCAACTGTGTTCTGTCAGCAAGAGGCTGATCTTCTCTGTGGGATACTCAAGACTCCCACTCAAAGGAGAGCACAGCTTGCTTTACTCAGGAGAGTTGAGCACTACTTACACAATATTTCACTTGGCACACACTGTACCTATGTTTGAAGTATGTCAGAGGATTGAATTAGCTGAGTAACAGAGCAGCAAGGATCACTTTCATACTTTAATTTCTCCCCTGGGCATTTAAACTTCTGTTATGAAATCCATATGTATTCATCAGTGAACTGTGGTACCTAGTGCAAGCTATCATGGATCGTACACTACTGAGTTTTAGTCCTTCAGAAAGAATGTGTTTCTATTAATAAAGATTTACAACCAAAGTTTGCTTTAGTTCAGTTGTTTGTTCTTTCCCTGAATGGGAGAAGTTATGTAATTTGATATTTATCTTGTGATTGAGAGCTGAGCCTTTACCGAGTCTGTTTTAAGCCACACAACCTCGTTACTATGAAAATTGAACAAATCCAACTTACATTTTCATGAAGAATAACTTTTTATGAATATTATGCAAGTACAAAAATGTTTCCCAAGATTAAGTTACTTTCACAATCGTAAGCACTGCAAGGCAAGTGACAACAATCATCATAAGCACTGCAAGGCAAGTGACAACACTCACTATGGCAGTATAGACTGTTGTCAGGCATAACACCCTGAAATCAGCTGTGTCTCACCTTGCACAGTGCATCTCACACATTATCTTTGGACAGGTTGGTGTATGAAGTGGAGTAGCTGCCTTTTAGGATACTTTGACCAGTGAGTTCAGTTATCTAGTAACTGCACTTTGGGGAGGCCAAAAGCCACGAGCAATCTGCTGCCTACCATGGCATTGTGTTCCTCTCCTCACATGCACTGAGTAACCCAGTACCACTGGGTCACCCATCATCCAACACCACAATTGACTTTGGGACACTTTCCACCGTTTCCAGGTCTGACTAAAGACCCCACAAACTGTTTAGAGAGCATTGATGCAAAACTTCCCTGTTTGGATAGAAGTTCTCCAAACAGGACAAGAAAATTTGAACCACTTGAGCCTTAATCTAGAGGAATTCCCAAAACGGAGCCTTCACATTCTTTCAGTGCTGCTGCTGGAAAAGTCTGTCTGCAGTGGAGCAATGTTGTGATCATAGGCAGCATATTCTGAGGCTCCAGTACTGGCCACCTTGAGCTGCTGCGCCGCGTGTGTGAGCTGGAAGGCAGCGTCGGGATGAGCCGTGTCGGGCAGCAGAGTGCACTCCCTCTCCAGCATGTCTGCCACACCCTTCAGCAGCTCCAAGAAGCCAAAGGCCAGAGCTGCCTTTCGTAAACGATTCAGTTCCTGCAAAGACAAAAAACCCCTATCAAAGCCACCCCAAACTTTTACATGAAACATGGGTTTCTTACTTTTTTCTCTAAAGGCAACATTACAGTGCAGCTGTGGGAACTGCCCAAGGGATAAAAAATACTTCAGGGCTGAAGATGGTGAAAGCAGCACAACTGAACAGTTTGTTTTCCTCTGATCCCTTCTTAAAAATCTTCCTTTCTCTCTTTTATGTATGCAGCTATTGTACCTGCCTGCTCTGTGTCCCAGCTGGGCTCCAGCTTAGGCTTCAACAGAGTGACTGGTGCTGCCTGGAACCACAGTGTGCAGCAAACTGTGGATATACTGATTTTTCTTCACTATAAACTGAACAGTGCTTATGTGCACTAAGCAGAGGATTCAGTCTTCAAGTCTCTGGGGGCCACAATACCAAACTGCTTCATCACTAAGCTTGCACTTACCTCCAGGCTATAGTCTAGTTATGGATTATTATGATGTGGTCAAATGTGCCTGGAATTTTGTCTTTCTCTGCTTCAGTTGTAGAACAAATGTAGAAAACATTTTCAGACTCAGACTGACATTTGTCTTCCTATTTCTCTCTGATCCCTCTGTTTATGTCTACCTGGACAACTGTATAGTATCTGTAAAGAAGTTCACTTTGAAGGAGCAGGGGTCATGAGGGACATCTGTAAACATGACACATCTATGCTACCCTGCCAGAAAACATGGTGGCAGGGAAACCAGACCCCTTGTCTCACCTTAAGTAGCCTATAAAATGACCCAGGATGTTACTTTTACAGAGCACTTATGTTTTTACAGAGCCCTACAAGCCTGCACAGAACACACCACAGACACAGTGTGTTCCTCTGTCCAGTTCACCATGGACCAAACTTGGGCCAGCCTGCAATGTTACTCACTTTATAGAAGGTTTGTGTTTTTTCAGGGAGTTTCCTTGCATTTCTCAAGATCTTCTGTACATCTGTCTGCGGGAAAGAGAGAAACAAATACAAAAATCTTGGCAACTGGTGGGAGAAGCTGCAGAAAAATCCTCAAGGTTTCAGTGATAAGTTATCCTGACCATTAACAAGGCTGCAGCTCACAAAGGCTGGAACATAAGTGGTAATTACACCAAATCCAATAAAGCAAGGCAGATGCCACACTGGAGACACAGCTTTCATCAGCCAAGCTCTGCTTTCTGACTGCAGTTTAATCATGACATTCTAAAGAGGCAGTGCTTATAAAAATGAAAGAAAAGCAATAAAGCAATTTCATTAGACCCACACAGGCTCCACTTGGCTGCTAAGTTGGTTACTGCTGCTCAAAGTGCATCAACGCCCGTACTGTTACCTGGAGGCCACTTGGTTTGATCCAGACGGTGACGTTCTGCGCGTAGCTGCGCTTGTTCTTGGGCTGCAAGGGGAAAGGGCTCTTGTTGTCATCCTCCCCATAAGGATTTTCTTTGGCATCTGGGAGGAAAAAAAGGAATTAAACAGATTTAGCAACTCAGATTTGGCAAGATCACACAACACTGAATGTGGCAGATATTCCAAGGAGTGTGACCAGTACCTGAAATGGGCCCAAGCTGTGCCATCTTCCCCAGCCAGGGCAGGGGCTCAGGACCAGGCTCAAAGAGTGACATCATGAGGTTTGATTTCTTCTTGCTATCAGCTTGTGAATAGAGCATTCCATACCACTCTGGCCTATGGAAAAGAGCAAATCCCCAAAGGCTGAAAATCTTCCACCCCTCTGCCTGGGATATGCCTCGCTCTCACTGTGTGGAGGCTCAGTGTTTGCAGTTTGTACTGGCAGAAACATAACTGCAATTAAAAATGCACAGCTCTGTCTAGCAGTGCAGAGTTCTGCACTGAACACAGATATAAATAAGCAAAATTTATAAATAAAGCACAAATGAGCAAAGTAAGATTTTTCAGGCAGACATCCAGCTCCATACCCCAACTGGACCACAGCCACCATGCCTTCCACTTTCAGGCTGCCATGGAGTAAAACACAGAAGTTGGGGATTTTCCCAGCAATCTGATTAGCTGAATTCTCATCCTCAGTGTCATCGGTGATCCCAGGTCCCACCTCATCCCCTTCTGGGGAAGAATAAAAGCAAACAAAGAGAAAAGATAAGAATACATTCAAACACACTAGTCCTGTTTCCATGACAGCCTTTACTGTCTGCCATGCAGGAGTTAATTGCTACTTCTGTAGAACAAACAGCTGTGAATGAGCTGCTTGAGCAAAGTGGCACAGTAATGATACACAAATATTGCACTGCACTGTACTCACAGGCACTAAATCCACATCTTGCATCACATACTTTATGGCCCACTATTATTTTTAGCTGTAAGTTTAGCATGTTCTATCAATAACAATGCCATGAGGATCCTGGTCCCTCTGTGAACTTTCCAAAGGACACAGAACTCAAAACCAGAAAGAGCTTGTGCTCAGGGATTTCATTTTCATGGAACCACACACACATGACACATGGAATTTTGATAAAGCAAAAAAGAAGTGCTTCTAGTCTAAACCACCACAGACATTACAAGGGAAGCTTGAAGTAGTTTTTACTGAAAGAACCCAAACTTGCTCACCTCTGTTGAGTGCAATGGGCAGTACCAAGTGCCTGGACAAGACAGGAGGGCTAGAAATGTCAGCTATATCCACAAAGCCAACAATTTCTAAATCTGTGGGGAGATAACAGGTTTAAGTCAGACTTGGAGATAGCTGAAATGCATTCAGAGCCAATTTCATTTCACCACTTCTTACATCATTAAGATTTCTGAAGCAATGACTAGAGGTGACACAAGAGAACCCAAACCTCAACTGGAGTGTGCAAAGGTGTTAATACGATACAAACATTCATACATAACACCAAGACATTTCAAGATGAGAACACAACGTTCATCACACGTACACAGCTGCCCCTGAGCTGTGCTGCTAGACAAACATAGAATTGTGCATCTTCAGCTCACACTGTACACAACCCACTGCTGTTTGATAAATTCCAAGGAGAGGAAACATACCTGCTGCTTATGGGAGCAGTGTCCACTAATGGGAGGGATGAGAAAGGCTTTTCTTTGCCCAGTTATTTTTAAAGGTAATTCGGTATTGGCAAGAAGTGCCAACAGAAAATCTATAAAGACTTCACAGATCTCAACCTCTGCTTGTGCTGCCTCACCAATTCCTCCTGGCTCTGCTTCTAATGGATTCCTTGAAGAAACCTCCAGAAAGAGGCTGGTTTCTCTCACCTGACAGTGCAGAGTCTTTCTGATAAGGGCAACTCTAACACAAAATGCAGGCCCTTCTTCAGCACATCTCACCTACCCTCCAGGAAGCTTATAAGGGTGTCCATGGCAAGCAGCCTGTGGCTGTCTTTCAGACTCTGCCCCTAGAATTTGGCACCCTGAGCTCTGAAAGTGCCTCTACCCTACTCTAGCCATTCCACCAGGTACCCCTGGCTGAAACAGGATGACCTTCCCATCCCCTGGTGCCACACACCCCCCAAAAAATGACAGTCAGGGATTGATTCTTGCAGAGAAGTGGATGAAACAATTACCTACACAGGGTAAGAGGTGGCAATGAAAAGGTAGGAATCCAATGGATGTAAGTAAAAAAGCAATCAAAGATTTGTTACCTGTATTAATTGCTTTAGGAATGGGATCTATTTCCTCATCTATAATGAAAGGCTCTGGTCTGGGAAATACTTGCACATCAGAAGTTAAGTGGCCACACTTAAGAACAGCATGGAATGGTGTGTAAGCCAGGTCTATCAGCTTTCTAGAACACAAGGAGTTGTTAGGGAAAACATGACACATACCCAATTAAAATGGCTCGTTTAAAAGCACACTATCTTAGCCCCCAAACCCTTTTTTAACTAATTCAACAGTTCTAGCAATAAATTCTGAGTCAAAGCAGCATTATCACACTGATGTGAATGAACAATAATTGTGGAAATTACTCTCTTCTATCTGCCAAGCACAAACAGATGCTCTGAGTTGGTTACCTAATCATTAAAACAGACACTGACCTCAAACAGTGAAGGCCAAGATAAAAACACAGTTAACAAGATACTAAATTAAATAAATAAAGTTTAATTAGAACATCTCATATCACCAGATCTCTTATTGTATTTGTTCTCCTTTAGAGATACTAACTGGAAACCTTCCCAAGGGCCTATTATTATCTACAAGGCTACTAACCCAAACATAGACTGCACATTCTTCAGGCACAAGGGTCCATCAATGGTGAAAATCTGCCCTTCCCCATTGTTTAAATCAATGAGCCTTTCCAGGCAGTCCAAGGAATCTGTGCTTTGAAGCTGCAAAAAAAAGAAAGGGAAATGTTTCTATTGAGTTTTATTTTTACTTCCAGAGTGGCTGCAGGAAATACACACAAGGCAGCAAACAACACCTGACTGGATGCTCTCATCAGTTTTTGTTATCACACTCCTTTCCAAAGAAGCCAACATTCTTGGCCTCCCAGGAAACGTTCTCTTATCACTTATCAGGAATAGAAGATTTATTTTAAACATTTTCCCATTTATTCTGATGTGTCAACAATGCTTCCATCCATCAGCTTAATCAAAGGGATCATCCTTGACAGAGCCCTTGAAGCTGAAGATATCTATTGCACACCTAAGCAGAAAATCCTGCTGTGATGGACAGAAGAACACAGGTGTGGAGTCAAAAGCAATGCTATTAATAAAACCTAATCCAAGGAACCTCAGCAGTCAAATAGGCTTCTCCTCAAACTCTGTTTATGCAGCAGAATTCCAACTCCTGTGAGGATTTTTAAAGCTGGTATTGAGATTTGCAAAGAGAAAGAGAAGAGAGAAAGAAAACTGATCACCTTTCCTTCAGAGCTAAGGGAAGTTGATTTGAACACTTGCTTGGAGACTTTATTTTGCTCTCTCACATTTCTATATGAAGCTGTTGTGGTTTAGGTTTTGAGCAATAAAAGTAATTTATTCAAGGATTTAATTGTAGATTTAAAAAACCCCTAAAGCATTCAATATTATTAATGCAGCAATGGTAATAACAGAAACAGAGAAAGTAAAATTGCATAATATTGCCTAGGGAAACTGACATGATCCATAAAGATTATGATAATAATGTAATGATATAGATTGTGATATAAATTATCTAAAGGTTATGGTAATAGTAGTAGACAATAACAGTGCAACAATAAACATTTTAAAAGACACTACAATTACATTTCACCCAATAACTAACACCAGGCACCAGAATGGCTACTGAACTTTCAGCACAAGAACATCAAAGCATGTTTTGTGCTGACCTGGTTCTAAGTTCAGAGCAGAACAAAAATTATCCAATGCAGCAAAGAAAGAATGTGTTAAAGACATCACCTCTTCCAGGTTGGCCATGCACATGACATACAGCTTGGATGGGAAGGGGAAGGGCAGTGGGAAGCGGTTGCTTTCACTTCGCTGGTTGTGAGTAGCCAGGGAGTGCCTCAGGGAGCCTCTGCCGATCCCCAGGCAGCCATCGGTGACCAGGACAACCTGCAAGGAGCCAGGAATGAGCCAGGATGGATGGGCCCTGCCAGGCAGAGACACATTCCTATCTGCAGAGGGCAACTCCACGCCGACACATCGCAGTAGCCTTCCTGCAGCACGTCCTCCTCCTGCACTGAAATCCTCCTGCACTGAAATCCCTGCTCCCACGGGGATTTGTATCCCATACTGAGCTGGGGAAAGGCCTGCCAGTAACAATTCCAGAGATAGGTCCATAAAAGATTGAACCCTTGTGATGTAAACTATGTGCATGGTAAGTACACATTTTCTGGTCATTAGGCAATTGCATTACGATTTAAATTTCATACATTTCACTAGAAGCACAGTGGCTGCAGTCAAAAACCAGCCTGCTGCTGCTGGGCTTAAGGATTCCAGGTTTATTTAGATTCTGGAAGGCAACTCAGCTTCTACTTCAGGCCACAGAAAGCGTAAAAAATGGTAGCATTAATGATCTTAATTCTTTGCAAATACATCTGCAGCACATTCACATTTTGAAGCAGAACCATTAGAGCAAAAAACCACATTTTTCCATCTAGCTGCACATCCAAAGTCACTCCTTGTGCAAAACTGCACTAGTAGGTTACACTGAATAATGGGACTATTTATACTCAGCTGAGATCTAGTCACACCCAAAGGAGTAAAAGAGCTGCTCCTTCACCAGTGCACAGCAGCAGCAGCAGGCAGGAGTTTTGGCTGAGAGGTAAGGCAAAGCAAATCCAATTGAAATTTGATGTTTCATCCAGATTTGCATTCTCTCTTCATCCTCCACCTCTCTCTCCTGCAATCTGAACTGCTGCTCATCAGTGACTTTTTCACTATTACAAGTACATTCCCCAGTGCCTTTCATCACCTGATGTGCCAACAAAATGAGCCATGACACAAATGAGAGACCAAATTGTTGAGGTCTAATCTCTGCTTGGTTTTTACACCTTTCTAGTTCTTTGCTTTCAGTGTCTGCAGTTCCAAGGTGCCTCTTATCTCTGTTGGATTATGAAGCACTGCCTAACCAATAAACCTCTATCCTTTTTCTCTTTAAGGAATATTGCTTGAGACATCTTCCCAGTTCACAGAGCTGCAAAATTACTGAACTTGAATGAATTATCTCAGGAAACTGAGGGTTAAACATAGACGTTGCCATGAGAGGCAGTAAATTCAAAAGGCTGAGAGCTTGGAGGGCTGAATGGAGTGTGTGAGCAGCTGCATGTCAAATGACTCATTTGGGAAAGAAGCAGATCAAAACACACTCAGCAGCAGTCCCACGCTGCCGTGGAGACCTGGAGCTGCTTAGAAGCCCTGGAAACCAGTAGGTACTGGAGGAGAAAGGTTCCTGCATGTGTGACTATACCTTTTACAAACTGAGTGGCTCTTGGGCCAGAGGATTGCATCCAGATCAAATGCCAAGCCTGCACAACAGTGTTCCTGGGCCAGATTTTATAATCCACTCCACTACAGTAACACACTGGGCAGGAAATAGTCTATTTTTTTGCTGCTGAATATTTTCATAAACTCATGTTCTGTTCATAGTCTAGATCCATCCAAAATATTAGTCCTTTGTGGTTTTGTAGCAACAGTATACCTGAAAGTATTCAAAGTTTTCAAATTACATTTACATTCTTAATGCAACTCACAGGGGTAACTAAGTATAAACTACATCCTGAGAACAAGCTGTGCCAGAGGAGGTTGTGGTTGGATGTTAGGAGGAATTTCTAATGTTCTAATTCTAATTTCTAATGTGGTTGGATGTTAGGAGGTTACCCTTACAGAAAGGGTAACCATACACTGGAATGTGCTGCCCAGGAAGGTGGTGGAATCAATGTCCCTGGAGGTGTTTACACAGAGACTGGACACTTAGTGCCATGGTCTAGTTGACATGGTGGTGTTAGGTCATAGGTTGGACTTGATGATCTCAGAGGTCTTTTCCAACCTGATTGATTCTGTGAACAGTGCAAACAGTCATACCTGGCAAGGAATTCCTGCTCCCCACTCCTGCTGGACAATGTTGCAAACCCCCAGCAGTGCCGACTCTAAACAGGTTTTGTCATAGTCATCCATGTTACTCAGGGCTTCCTGCAAAGACAAACACCAGTGTCACTGCTGGGGAAATATGCCTGCAGGAGGCACACAACAGTCACTCAAGGGTCTGTGGTCAGTCAGGGTGTTTGCTCTGTGTGGTTACACAACGTTATACAAAGAAAAAAGATGTAAGAAATGCTGAATGAAATAATGAGACAAGGACAGCTAAGTTTGAAGGAAGGGTATACACATATAAACACAGCTCTTTAAGAGATAAAAAAATCCTTTGCATGTCTTAGAAAAGGCAGTGAAGTCAAAATCTGAGGCAATGTCTAACATGAAACATTTAGCTGAGAAAATCCTTCCAGGTGTCAGAGCAAGTATAACTTCTTAAGACATTCAGAAAGTAAACCGCAAGGAGGCTGTCTCACAAAAACTCTTTGGCAGAGAAAGTAACAAACCAAAAACTCATATCTGCATCCATAAACCATTTCCTTCTGTTTAAAATGAAACCCTCACACTTAACACAGCATGACACAGGTGCAGCTGCATATGAACTTGCTAGAGGAGCCTGGTTGGGTTCTTGGCTTTCAGAAATTCCTCAAATGAATTCAATTCCACCTCTTGGAGAAGTGAAAATGAATCATAAGAGAATGCACTGACATTTGCCTGTTAACTGCAAACATAGAGTACTGTGTGTCCCACAGCAGACAAACCCAAGCTGTGTCCTGTGACAGTGACACAGAATCATAGAATCAACCAGG